TCATTCTCACATTTTATGCAAGAACAAAAAGGCACAGAACAGCAATCATTTATGCAAAATCCCAGAGCTCATGGCATAGTCCATCTCTATTCATTGTAGTTCACTGTCATGCATGGAAATTATCCTATTTCAGCCATTACTCTAAAGCATCTATTTTTGTTTACAGCACAAGATGTCCTTTAAAGAAAGTAGGATGGGTAGGCAAGTAGAAGAGTTACAGTTTGTGTGGTAAAATGCACTACCAGCGAATAAAAAGAGCTCTTAGCATTACCACAGAGACAGCTTTCTTTTGATACAGACATCGAACAGTATGCAAAGATAGCTGATCACTAGCCTGTGTGCCCAGTGATGCTCAGATTTGCTAAGGTGCTTCTTACAGGTCAGAGCTAAGTAGGACTATAAACAGGTGACTTAGCAAATGACTAGGATTATAAGAAGGGTAGCCTTCCTCTATCACATATTTCCAATTTTGCTGCCTTGGAAGTGTCTGATCTTTTCCTCTTTTCAGAAATCATTACTGAAGTGCAGCTCATTGTTTAAAAACAGCAAAAGGCCATGGCTAGGCACCACCACAGCTGCGGGAGGGTGCCGCAATCCCCACACTATTAGGAGTTAAATTGAAATTGTTATCGTAATCTACATGAATGTCATGACTCCTCCTCCTCCTACACTGCAGTGAGAACAGATGAAATTTCTACCAAGTCATTAACAGCATCACAGCAATCACTAGAACTGTGACCTAACATAAAACCTAAAGGACATCAAAACCAACAGAAGCCAGATTAAAAGCAAAGCCCCCAAGTAAACCTGGGGTAATTCTTCAAGCACTGCCATAACTCTGTGGAACTCCTTGCCAAAGGATGCAATGGATGCAGAGAGTTCATTCAAAGGAAGACTGAAGATGCCTATGGAAGGGAAACCCATTAGTAGGGGTATTTCTCTAAAAATGCATGTGGTTCAGAGTCCCCTGGGCTGAAACTGTTCTGTGGCTGGGAGGTTATGAAGGCAGGTACTGTAGGTGCTTGCTCTGTCCCTACTCCTACACAGAGCACTTGTTTACACTGCAGGGAAGACCTGTCTGGCCTGAGCCTGCATGGTGCTTGTACGGGTTCTGAGAACAAATCTGCAGACAAAGAGCCAAACGCATGCAAACAAAGCATATATAGCTAAAATCAGCTGCTGAAAGAACAAGTCCTCTGCTCAGTATTATGCAGAGTTTTAAAGTTCTTGCCAGGTAAAACACAAGTCTGCTATAGGGTGGAAGGGAGATGAGAAAGAAGGTGAGAGGAAGAGAGAGCAGGGAAAAAAACAAGAAGAAATGGAAATCAAGTTGCTAGCAGTCTCAGACATTAAGCCACATGTACTTCTAAAGATGCCTACTTACTTTCCAAACCTTAGTATGCCTGATACGTATGTCTGCCAGTGAGCAGAATAGAACATGAACAGTCCCACAAAACAACAGAAAAACAACCAGTCAGGATTTGTTCCTAGTCGGATTGCTATGCAGGATCCAAGGACAACAAAAACTGAAAGGCAGAAATGAACATGTTAGTCATATACCCTCTTTGCTTGCAGTTAAGAGAAAAAAAAAAATCACAAGGCATTTTACATCACTATAACATACATCACTATAACAAAGTAATGATATGACTGATACTTCACTGAGTAGCTAACCTCAGGGACAGTCCTGGCAGGAGAGACCAAAACACAGGACTCCTTTTCTTCCAAGCAAGGCCCCCCCCTTCTAGCCTATAGTGGTCGTTCTCTCTTCTTCTGGCCTTGTTGTCTCGTGTTCTTTGTGACACTGACAGCTTCACCTGAAGGGCCCAGCTCAGAGAGACTGGTAGTTGCACTTCTCTGGGAAGTGAGGTGTAAAAGAATGTACCAAATCCCAGGACAAATGTTTCGGCCATTAAGCTTTTATAGAAGTACAGGCTTTGCCACCAACAGCAGCTAAGTTATGGAAAGCAAAACTAAGCAAGGCTTACTTTTTAAGGACTCCAAATCAACTTTTTTTTAAACTCATTCTTCTAAGGAATATAAATTATCCTTCTCCTAAGTGCCAGGCTGGATGCCCTGTTACCAAACATATTTTGGCACCTCACCCCTAAAGCGGAATCCTTAGTTTCACATGCCAGCATCAGTCTTTTAGGTCCTTAAAATCCTTTATTAGGCATCACCTATACCTTACTGGAAAACACAGGCTATGTGTAGTAAAGAATCTCTAAGCATGCTCTTACAGAATTCTTTGTTCACCACCTAACTCATTCAAAGAAGACTGTACGAGAAGACATCCAGTAAGAGCAGAATGCATGTTACCCAACATCTGCCAAAGGTACTTCTGAAATATCCTCCCTGATCCTGGTCAGGATGCAAAGGTCAGGGGCAGCCTTGGCTGCAGTGACCAGGAGATGGTGACGTTACGCTAAAGAAGGGAACGTGCTGACCCTGCTCTGAGCAGGGGGTTGGACTAGATGATCTCCAGAGGTCCTTTCCAACTTCAACAGATCTGTGGTTAATAAGCTCCTCTTGACAGCAGATAACTTTTTGAAAACTAGGATGGGTAACAGTAGGTTAAGGCTACCTGTGGAAATAGAGTCGCAACCATGATCAAAGAGTTCTCCTAGAGGAGAACTACTGTTTGTTCTTCTGGCTTGCTTCCCATCAATGGCATCCAGAGACTGGTAGATAAAAAGTCCTAATGCACCCAGGATGTATGCCCAAAAAGGTGCCTGAAAGAGAGTCACATAAAAGGTCACTAGGCAGTTCCCAATTTCTTAGCTGATAATCTATTTCATTAAAGGTAAAATATTGTTCAGCACAAAACCATACTACATCATGCTATTTGTTACTTGGTTAACAGACAAACCAAATTCTGTGCGCTAGTCCTACATGAACTGTAGTGAGTACTATAATGAACTACTCCAGATACACCAATGAAACACAGGTCCTTCTATTTATTAAAAAAAAAAAACAAAAAAAAACCAAAAAAACCCCTTATTTTTCCACCTTAAAACCACAGTACTTCTATAATTATTTGTATTCTTTGTGCTGAAAAATGTTATGAAAATAAAATTAATCTTTAAAACATAAAATAGTACTAAGGCACTTACTAAAGTTCTCAGCAGTTTATGTGATAGACGCTTAGATGATTTGCTCAGATTTACAACATACAGATATAAGAACCCATTACATTTTACTAAATAAATACTTCAGCTTTTAGGGAAATCTTTTCCAACATACAAAAATTGACTGCATAGGCACTTTGGATAAGGGTTTGAAGAAATTAAGTTGCTCCTTCATATTTAGTGAATGACTATCTACTTAATATAGACTATCAGAGTTTCAAACAAGCTGTGAATCAGTTACATTAACACCAGTCTTAGGTTGAAAGCAACTGTCCTACAGTAGTACCTTTCAAAAGCCTAATTTTCACACGCACAGTCAGTATGTCTTTGTTTGTCTAGGAATTAGTTTTTACTAAAAATTATTTATAACACCTTCTGAACAAAGTACAGGTAACATTTTTGCCTTAAGTAGTTTCCAGCGGTATCCTTAACATTTAGAAGCACTGTTCACAAGGAGAGAGCCAAAGTCAGGCATAAATGCTGGAAATGCAACTGGCAGGTTAAACAAGCGAACAGCCGCAGGCAGCCAGAGCGCTGAATTCTTCCCCACTCCCAGGTAAGGGAGAGCTGCTGTGGCTCTACACCTCTGCAATTCCTCTCCTGCAGCGCAAATAGACCAACACGACTGCATGTATTACCTAAGTCCGGTAAAGTCTATTAAGCAGATTTAGACAACAGATCAAATCTCCGTCAGCTGAGATTTGTCCACAGTCACATAAACCCTGTGTCACTGCTGGGGAAAAAGGAAAAATGACAGTTGCCAATCAGTTCACAGGCAGGGACAGGAGAAGGCAGCAATACGAATACAGATGAGGTGAGCTGCTCCTCCAGGCATTCTGTTTCCTCATCATCGTTATACTCACTGACTTGAGCTAGGAAAAAAGTTATGCCTCCAGTTAGACTGGTCACAAAACACATCCTTCCCAAGCACCAACACGCTTAAGGGAAGTTCAGTTCTGAACGGCTTTTTTGCTCTTATTTAAGACTTCCTCATGTATTCAAGGCTGGCTGATACACTATGTTATCGCTTAGTTTTGTGCTTTTTAATATGGAAACAATATTGTCAGCCAGTTTATGATTTTGCTGCCATCCAGTATTTAGATAATTTCATTAATAAAACATTCCACCACTTCAAGTCAAATGTTTGGCTGCTTCACCCAGCTTTGAAGCAAAAGACAGTCAAAGAATTAGGGACTCCAGCTATAGGTGAGAAGTCTGGATTTGTATGTACATAGAAATCTAGAAGACTTAAAAAATTCTTCAAAACTGGCAAGGCCATCTTTCCCCTTAATCCAAGGAAACTGAGAAAAATTGTAATCACAGATGATGTTGGAAGCCTTGAGCAGGTGAAAGAGGATGAGTAGATATTCTCATTTCAATGGACATTTAACATACTGGTATCTGATAACCCCCCCAAAGAGGACACTGTAGAAATCCAGGTCAAGTGATTGCAGCAATACATGTTTGATGTTTACCAATGGAATTAGTCGAGTTATTTAGGTTTTTTCTCCTTTGTTAGTCCAGTTAAACAAAGGAATTCTGTGTTGGGGGATGGGCTTAAACCAGGGAGTGAGTTCTTAGCCATCTTTTGAAAAAGTTTCTCTCCTCTGATGAAAGGGGAAGGACAGAGCCTGTGGACAACAGGAGGAGCCTACTGCCACCCTGGCTTCACGGACCACCGAGAGCCACGTGGAGGAACAGAGAGCTCAAGACCTTCTCCTGGCACAAGCTCACTTGGTCAGATGTTCTGCAGGGAGACAGTGGCTACCTCTTGGCCCCCGTTCTCACTCCCCACCTTTCCAAAATAGAGGGCTGTCAGCCATTGCTTAGGTATTTCAGGACCTAAAAGCACAGTCAGGACCCTGTTGAAGCTAAGATCATTTTACTTGTGACATAATCCACATATTAAAGCTACCACAGTAGCTATACTGACTTTTTCAGAATAACTTTGTTGTATGGAGAATAACAGATGTTCTCAAACAAGGCAGCTCCTGACACAGACCTATGAATGAAGCATCACGAGCAGAAAGGCCAGGAGAAACCACCAGTTTCACTGCAGTCCTTTAAAGTAGTATTTTAAAGACACCTCCAATTTTATCACCGATATTACTGTGAAAAGCCACAAAGGTAATTTTACGAGGTGTCCTTACTGTGACATACTTCTACTAGTTATGAAAAGATAGCTTGAGATCTATCGAAACTTGTCATGCTAATCCCTGGATTTTGGCAAGTAAACCAGGCCACACCTGGCGATTCTGTCCAGGACACCACTGGTTTTTTGGCTGCATTAGGCTCGCCTCCTTTTGCAAACATCTACCTATAACTGAAATAGATTTTAGTTTGCTTTAAAGTCATCAGGTTCTCCATACCACGGACAGAAGTAGACTGTATCCAGTGCTAAATATGCAAGCTAAATTCCTTACCCACTCTGCATTCACACACACACACACACCCCCAGTGTGGGGCACATCACCAATGAAGTCAAATGCCAGAGCATGGGTAGTTTCTCACTTAACTGGATCATTTCCATAATTGAAACACCAGCCAGGAACAGAAACCTGTTATGGCACATTCTTTTATCATTAGCCGTAGCGCTCTATGCCTTATGCTTGGTATTATCACAGTCTTTTGAAATGCAAGCTCCATGAAATACAGCCTCAATTCTAACCAAAACAGAAGGCTTGCATGCTCATTACTGCAATCAGTTTATGAAAGTTTCCATAACCCACAGAACATGAGGGTTCTTGTTCAAGGTAACATCGTCTACATTTACCTTACCTCAAAACAAGTTTAACACATTAAATGTAAAAATAAATAAATCAGCTTCAACTCAAACCTCTCTTATCAGGTCTTTTTGACAAAGCAATGGCTTTTGTTGAGTTTCAAGTTATTGTACAGGTATAATCATTAAGACTGCTGATCCAAGTCTGTTTGCATTAGCTCCTGCTGGGACAAATCAAAGCAACGATCCCCTCAGACTCCACAACTAGAACGCTCTGCTCATTGACAATCTGGAAACAGGGGAAGAAGCCTTCATCCTCTTCCCAGTAAGGATATCTGTATCCGTTAACACCTGTAGCGGATGCATCTGTATCCCCGCAGTTGTGGAGAAGGGAAGAAGATCCTAGTAAGAACAGGTGTCTGAGAGGGCTTAGAAACACAATCTGGAGCATTTCGTCCCTAGGCTGTCAGTTCAAATCAAACCCAAAGTGGTAACAACCAAAGATCACTCATGATCAACTATGTATTTAGCAGATTAAATGAATGCTCTAATGTTTTAATCAGTAAAGTAACAGTTTTCCAAACCACCGAAGGTGCACAGAGGTTTCTGAAGTTCCTAACAACCACAAATTCTCTCTGCTATCCACCCTCTCAATACAGCTACAGCTGCCGTCTCCTCCGCCTTCTCACATGCCTGGCTCTTCATCCAGGGATGTCCCCTGCCAGCTTCCCACGCTGGACCCAAGTAGTTTGCAAATTAGAGAAGTGGGAGCATTTGAAAACGCTGACATGGCTGACAGACTCAGCAGAAAGGTCAGGAGGCTCCCAATAATCATCAGCTTTTCACTGATGAGGTGTTTATTCTCTCTGCCCAAAGTTATATCCTGTCCAAGTAAATGTGTTATTTGGCCAGAGCTAGATGCTATTCTCATGGAACTAGAAAAGAATGCAAACCCAGGGCAGAGGGAGGCCGGGGGGAAGAAGGCTTCTCCACTTCAATTAAAAAGGATGTCTGAAAGATGATACAGCCCCAGAATCTTGTCACACACAGATTTGGTATGGCAGGTCTGTCGTCTACTGAACCAGAGGGTGGCAGAACAAAACAATGTGCATATAGCGTTTGACAGGTATGTGTGGCATGCCTCTCCCTTAGGAAAAAGCGTAGGTTGAACAGCAGTCCTCATTATTCTGCTCCTGTGATTCCACACCACAGAAGAGCACGGACAGCTGCAGAAGACTAGATGCGCCAAGAAGATCCCTTAGCACTTATTTCAAGCAAAGTTCTCAAGCCCAGAGTGTTCAACAGCCCAAGCTTATGCAACATTTAAAGATTCAGCCCCCCTTCATTACTCATCACATTTAGTCATAATCTCGCTTCCTCAATCCAACAACACAGCAACTAATTTCACCCTCGTTTACACAGCCCCTCTCTGGAACAGATGCAGAAGAGGGAGACACATTTTTACTGGACTTCCTCCCTCTTCCCCCAAATGTGGATCATTTCCCTCACTTCTGTTTTACACAAAGCACTATGTACAATAGTACTAATAGCAGGAGAAGGGAAGGGGCTGTTTAATCCTGCATTACAGCAGGGGAGAGGGCAGGGAGGAAAAAAAAAAATATATATCATACTATAGGCCAAGTGCACTTCACGCACACCAGGGACTCCCTGCATTCCTTTAGCATCCTCCTCTCCCCAACAAACTCCCTCTGAAAGAGCTCCCATCCTTTTGTGTCGGGGTTCCTCAACCTTCGCTGTCTTCCTTTATGCCAAATACTTCTTTCTCCCATTCACTACCGAGTGAGTCCTCACTCGGGCTGGATTCCCTGCCCCGCCCACTGCTTTGCACCTCTCCTCTACCAGGCCAGGGGCTTAATGCTTCTTCCTTCACGCCCCCAGTTCATACCAGCTGTTCCAGTTCCCCCTCTTGTCTACTTCTTTATTCTCGCTCCCACAAAGCTCAGTTGTGCCCTTGCTATTTACATAATTCCATGCCTGTCAATATCTTCCCTTCATTTCTCCCTCTGACAGGAAAAAACTCAAGCCGATGCCTCTTTCAGTTTAAAAGATGGGGTTGGGGGGGGGGGTGTTTTGTGGTTTTGTTGTTGTTTTTTAAAGGGGTTTTACAAAGTGAGATTGAGAGAAGCAGAGACAGCACCTCACTGACGTTCCTTTCCCTCCGAGCAATTAATAGTAGAGCTACCTGGAGCCACCTAGACCCTCCCCTACTTCTTGGTCTCCCTAGATGCACGGTTTTCTAAATAGCATGTTTCAGCAAGGTATAGCACCCTTTTATAAATGCACTACACCATTTTTTAAGCAATTCTGCAGAGCTAGCCATCACAAGCCTCCCTTCCCTCCCTAGCTCTGCTCTCTGCATGAGAACCCTTGAGCCCCTGCCTCCTTTCACCATCACTGCCCAAACTGCAAATCCATAATCCATGCTTTTCTCTCCCTGTATTCCTCTAGTCCCAGTAACCTGCAAGAAATTATAGACAACAGAAACAAATGCCTTAAAAAACCCCAAATAAATGAGACATGATGGAACCTAAGAAGCCGAGAGCATGCAGGACAAGTCTTTATCACTGGATTAAATCCACGCTGATCATCCTGCTGTAACTGCTACAAGATTTTTTTTTAAATAGATATAAATTCAATATAAAGTAATAATTACTGTTAGCATGAACTTCTGTCCTAAAATTCTAGCTTCCCATGGTATTTTAGAGAGACCTGTGGCTGAGCTCAAAGGATTACTGAAGCTAGGCCCCTCCATGACCAACCGTGAAAGCAGCAGGATCAGTTTCCTTTTTCCTTTTTAATAAGCTAGAGAATCATGTTTAGCCAGTTTTCTTCCTAGTGTTCATGCAAGGAAAAAGTTAACATGTCAGTTTTCCCCAGAATGGGAAGGGGTAAGGAGAGATTCATGTGCAAAACCTAATGAAGTAACTGTAGCTACTCCAGAGCAGTCAGCTTGCAGCAGAGCAAAACAGTTCACTGTCAAATGGTGGGGATAAAATGGAAATCTGCCTTTTACACTCTAATGCAGCAAATACACACTGTTCATACTTAAAGTCTGCAAAACTTTTCATTCCTAAATATTTTATAATTAGTGCCCCCCCAAAAAAAAAGAAAAAGAAAAAAACCACACCAGCCTGCAGTCACAACGAAGAAGATATTTCAACCCTCCACAGAACATGAAATGTGCAAGTGGAGTCCTCCCTACCACCACACCTGGTGTAGCAGTCCCATATATTATTTCTACAGGTTACGGTCCTAAGTTACACAGAGTAGGAAACTGGACAAACACTCCACAAAAATCTACACACATGGATATTAGTTACAACAGCGCTTGACAGGTGTAGTCTGCTGTAGGCCTAGCTACAAATAAGAAGGCTTATGTTGAAATGTGCATTTACAGAAGACAGTGATACAATGCATGTTCCTACTAGACAAGAAAACGTTACTGAAGTAGACAATATTTTATAAAGCCAAAACATACTGTGCTAGTCAGTAACAAACTGGCTTTTAGTGGCTACCAACGCTGATGAAGATAAAAAGAATAGTGCATAAGGAAGTAACAGCTACACAGTAAGAGGACAAGGGAGCATTGTATGGCTTCAGACATTAATTGCTTTGTGTGTGGGGGGAAAGCGTATTATTAAATTGTGGAATTCACTGCAGTAGGACATAATGGAAGGTAAAAGTACAAACAGGTTCAAAACAAATAATTCAAAAGGCAAAATCATGAGGAGGAAGGTGTCTGTGGGGAAACAGCTCCATCAGCTGCTGTTCTAACAAGTAACCTGAGTAGCATTTCTCACCAAGAAACCCCTAAACCAGTGCCTTTTGGCAGCTGGAAGGGTATACTGGGGAAAGATCTCTTTTCCAAGCATCTGCTAGCAGCTGCTCTCCAAGGGAGTTCTGAGCTAGGTGGACTAATCAGGCCTGAGGATGCTTTCATTTGTAAGACTTGGTTTCGTAACTTACCAGCTAGCAGTCTTACTTCTTTTGGATGGTTTGTACAAACATCAAGACTACAGTGTTTTCAACAGAGGACTAATAGAAATGGCCAACTTAAGACTGCTTAGGGAAAAAAAAACCACCACACAAACCAACTCATAAAAAAAAAAACAAAACCCACACCTAAAACCAAATCCTGCTTGTTACTTTATTAAGTCATCTATCCAGTGCTCCTACACTTCCACCAAGAGAAAATAACAAGTTCTTGTTAGTCCATCAGGTAATCAAGACTTGTTCATGAATGGAAGAGGTGGCTTGGCAGTATAGAGAGGTGATGTTGAAATGCCCTATCCTATCAGTTCAGCCTGTGATTCAATCTTTAACATCCTTTTCAGTTCCACCTTCCCTCTAGCCCTTCCAGCTCACACATTCAAGTCAAAAGTACAAAGGAGATATCAGAATAGCACATATAGCACATATTAGTGTTGCAACACTTTTTTAAAAAAAAGCCATCCAGATACATAACGTCTTAGGTGGAAGAGGAGCTGAGTCATTAAAGAAGCAGAAGAGGCATAACGATGCTCTAAGTGATGCAGCAAGAGAAAGCGAGGGCTAGTCTCACAGCACAGAGGCAACAACAAAACAACAGGGTAAGGAGTCTGGCTTCATGCTACCTATTTATAGCTGATAATACTGATATCTGAACAAGGAAGTTTGGTCCAGACTGTAGGTTCTTATAAAATTCAGCTTCTGCAATTAAAAAAAAAAAACAGCAAAGTTCCTAAAACTCAACTTAAACTTTCCTGGAAGGAATAATCCCCTGCATGTCTGCAACACCACCTTTTTCTTTTTGTACAAGAGCCCCCAAGGGAAAAATAACTTAAAATTTACTTTCTGCTTTCTTTTCTGAATAGCAAAGAGAAAAAAATAAAATTAACATCCAGACACATAGCTGGCACACAATTGATATCTACATCACAAAACTAAGCTAAAGATAGCAGTTCCACAAGCATTTTAATTCTGAAAGTGCCACTAGAAGACAACCTGTGGTTTCCAACCATTCACTCTCATCTCTATCCTCCCTTCTACTGCCTGCAATGCCACAGAGTGCCTCTACCTGGTGGTGCAAATGAGGGAAGTGATTAGGGTTAGACCAAAGCAAAGTTAATTTTGATCTGCATCAGCTTCCTGATACGTCTGCCACAAACACCTCTGCTAACACAAAGGGCAAAGCAACTACAGAAAAAGAAGGGTGCTTCCATCAGCAAGAACACTCACCAAAGTATGTCTAAGTTGTTAAAAAACCCTAACCAACCGCTACCTCTGCCATTAGGATTTAAGCCTATCAGAACACAAGAAAAAAAACAACCACCCTTCAAGATATTTTACCTACGCAAAGCAATTTTCCCCTGATATTTCCCACCCTTAACTACCATGAAGACTCTGCACTGGGAAACTCGTAACAGGCTAGGAAGCTCCAACAGAGCTCCT